TATCCAACAACAGTCCTTTTTTAAAGATTTATTTCTTTATTTTGGAGGCGGGAGGGGGAAAGGGGGAGAGAGAGAATCTCAGGCAGACTCCCCGCTGAATGCAGAGCCCAATGCAAGGCTCGATCCATGACCCTGAGATCATGACCTGAGCCGAAACCAAGAGTCCGCTGCTCAACCAGTTGAGCTCCACCCCCGCCTCAGGCGCCCCGACCAACAGTTTTGAGAGACCTTTTTTGTACTCTGAATTTCCTGTTTCAGGTTGTGAGCCTGTCTTCTAGGAGAGTGTCAATGTCAGGACAGTGTGAAGATTTTTCATTATGGGAAAGGTTAACACTCACTTAGTAGCTCCGTATTTAAAAGTGCCCCCCATGTGCCAGGCTTGTGCTAGGATGAGTCAGCCCTAGACCTTGGCCTTCCCGTAGTTTGGGGAGAATCTGGGGTCGTTGTTCTGACAGGAAAGCCCATGGGGCATGTAGGAGGGCAGTTTTGGGAGGTGAGGCCAAAAGGGCTTTGATTATTGAGGAGAAGCCAGTGGTTTTAAAAATCTTTGTAATGTGTTTCTGGTTATGCTTTTTTTTTTTTTTTAAGATTTTATTTATTTATTTGACAAAGAGAGAGAGCACAAGTAGGCGAAGGGGCAGGCAGAGGGAGAAGGAGAAGCAGGTTCCCCGCTGAGCAGAGAGCCCGACGCGGGGCTTGATTCCAGGACCCTCAGATCATGACCTGAGCCAAAGGCAGACGCTTAACCGACTGAGCCACCCAGGCACCCCTCTAGTTAAGCTTTAAAGAAGGAATGTGTGGGGCACCTGGGTGGCTCAGTCCGTGAAGCATCTGACTTGATTTCAGCTCAGGTCGTGATCTCAGGGCTGTGAGATCGAGCCCCAAGTTGGGCTCCATGCTGGGCACCTGCTTAAGATTCTGTCTCTCTCCCTCTTCCTCTGCCCCTTCTCCTCCAAAAAAGAAGGAATGTAGCATAATCCTGAGTTAGACCAAGAAGGACCCCCATCAGCCATGTCTGGAGGATGAGTGAAGCTGGGCCAGGGTTGAGGGGAACAGAAGCCCAACTACAGATGCTTTCTGGGGCCCCTGCTCTAGAGAGGTCTGCCAAGGGAGCTGCGAGTTCCCTTTAGAAGTGTGTAGAGCAGGCTTTCCCTAGTATGTTCCCTAGGAAACTAGACTTTGGGTCCCCCCCATGGAAAGGGTCCCAGTCCAGGTTTGATCTGTGGACGTCTGCATAAGGAATGTCTCCTCTTCCCTCCTTGAAGACTGACAGTGACATCAGCGCACCAGAGGCTCTGAGAAAGCCCATCAGTGAGGAGACTTAAAGAAATTTATCCCCACACGGGGCGCCTGGGCGGCTCAGTCGTTAAGCGTCTGCCTTCGGCTCAGGTCATGATCCCAGAGTCCTGGGATCCAGCCCTGCATCGGGCTCCCTGCTCCGCAGGAAGCCTGCTTCTCCCTCTCCCACTCCCCCTGCTTGTGTTCCCTCTCTCGCTGTCTCTCTCTGTCAAATAAATCAATAAAATCTTAAAAAAAAAAAAAAAAAGAAATTTATCCCCGCATTTTTCTAAAAACGTGTCTGTGGATTCCTTTTTTTCTCTGTAGTACCTTGATATATAGAACTGTGCGTGCTGCTTCTTCAGATCTTGTTTTGAAATTTCTGTGGGCAAAGGGTGGTCAGTCACCATAAAAAACATCCTAGTTTCTCTTTACTGTCTGTGCTTCTGTGGGTGCCTTAGGTTTTGGTTTTGGACTCACTTCTTCGTGTTGGTTGAGCACCACCTGTTGACTGTTGAGATATTACAGAAATCTGGGACAAGGATGTGATGCCAGTTGTGTAATCTGAACTCCTACATATTTGTTCTGAGATTTGACCAAATTTGACGCAAACATCAAGGAAAAGTGAACCATTTCAGCAAGCGAGGAGGAAGGAGAGGAGAACCCCAAACTGCCCCCCTGTCCAATTTGGTTTCTAGCCCACAGGGTTTGGGCTCTCTTTGCATCTTCCCACCTCTTCATTGTGAGTAATTGAAGCTGCCCGCATGACCTAACGTCTAAAGCAGGACTGGGGTTCGGTCTGTAGGTAAGCACAGTGGTTAGTTCTTAACAGAACACTGCAGGACATCAGAGGTTGTTCTCTTCCCTGGAGTCCTCATTCACATGGCAACCCTTCTGCTTCTGTCCTCCGCGGCCATCTGTGGAGGCGGCAGACACCCTGGCAGGATTCCGCAGAGAGGGGTGGCCTTTGAATCCTGGCTTCAGCATGACGAAGTTGTCAATTACAGAAAAAGTGTCTTTTTTCCCTTTGAGGAAATAGAAAAACAAGGACAGTTTTCTGTTTTGTTTTGTTTTGTTTCCTGGAACCACCTGCCCAGCTAGATACCAAGTTGCTGGAAGGTCTTACAGAGGAGGGGAAAGAGGGTTGGTTTTGCCAGGTTGTGGGATCCAATCTACTCTGAGGTGTGCCCTGCTCTCCAGCCTGGCGTAAAGTGCCCCGCACGCCTCCCCCCGGCCTTCTGCAGGGGCCCTTGACCAGGCGTGTGGTTGCTCACCTCAGGGCCCCCACAGGCAGACAGAAGAGCAGCAGGGGCCCCTCCCTGGCTCGGGGTTGAGCCCGTTTCCTCATCCTCCAGGCGGTAGCTGAGATGTCACCTCCTCCAGAAAGCCTCCCCTGACTACTCCGACTGGGTTGGTTATACACCTCTACGCTCCCACAGCCCTGTGCTCTTCTTTGTGACCCTCAGCACCTGGTGTGCTCCACAGGCCGGGGCCTCGTGTGCCCCATCTGTTCCTTTCCTCCCTTTGTAGCGCCCGTCCCTTGTCGAATGTGTGAGTGAGACCCAGTCCCTGCCTTCAAAGCGCTTAGGCAGGGCTACCCTCTGCCCCGGTCTTTGTTCACTGGTGTATCGAGGGTGGGACCATGGGTGTCAGCTTTTTCCTCCCCTGGAGGAGGAAGGGCTGCATGACAGTGGTGGCAAACACAAAAGGACTTGGCAAGTCAGGAGGTGTTAAAATTCAGGCCTTTCGGGGCGCCTGGGTGGCTCAGTCGGTTAAGCGACTGCCTTCGGCTCAGGTCATGATCCTGGAGTCCCGGGATCGAGTCCCGCATCGGGCTCCCTGCGCAGCGGGGAGTCTGCTTCTCCCTCTGACCCTCCCCCCTCTCGTGCTCTCTCTCTCTCATTCTTTCTCTCTCTCAAATAATTAAATAAAATCTTTAAAAAAAAATAAAATAAAATTCAGGCCTTTCAGTAATAACTTAAGTCCAGATCATTGAGATGGTTATGAATACCTTAAATTTATATTTGGCTGTAGGGTTTACCAGTTGTATGTGTCTAAGTGTATATGTATACGTACATACATACACACTGTCTCTCATTTAATCCTTACTAAAACACTCAGGAGGAGATGGTATTATCCTGAGTTTACCCAGGAAACTGGGTGCCAGACAAGCTACCTGACTGCAAAAGCCAGTGCTCGTGCCGTGCAGCAGAGCCTCGAGGCCTAGCCGTTGGCTGCTGAGCCTGAGAGAAAGCGGACCACTTGGAGGTGGGTTAGGAGTACCTTTGGGCTGGGCAGAGATGGCAAGGAAGGTGACTGACACGTTGGAAACGTCCAGCCCTTTGAGCTGAGACTGTGCTGTGTGTCTGTCCCTCAGAGTCTACGGGGGCGTCCTGTGACGTTTTCTCTCTGGGGGTCATGGCCTTCTGGCCTGTGTGGTCCAAAGCCTGGCTTCCTGGGGTGGATGTGAGAGGCACGAGGTCTGGCCAGGTGCCCAGCCAGGGGCTTTGCTTTTTAAGCCAGGTTCTCAGGTTCAGATAGGGTTTACTGCTGGGGTGCTAGTCTTTGGAGACCGGTTGCTATTCCTCACGAGGTCTCTGAGTGGCTTTGCAGAAGAGGCAGGGCTGTGGCTCACAGCCAGGTAGAACCACCACAGCCCCCTAGAGTGTGGACTAAAGATCATGCCTTGTCCATCTCCAGCCTTCTGAAAAAGGGAACCCTGTGTCAGCCACCCAGAGGTGGCTTCTGACAGCACTTGGCAAACTAGACTCTCTGAGAAGCCCGTGCCACTGGGGAGTGCTCCTCGCCTGCTGGTGGCTGGGGTACGAGGGCTCCTTAACTCATCCAGAGAATTATTCCCAGGCCCTGCTATGTGCCGCGGTCTGTGCTAGGTGTTTAGGGTGATGACACCTAACGGGCCTTCCCCTTGGCAAGCCACAGGGTACTGTGTGCGGCTGTGGGTGTGGACACTGCTCCGTGGAGGGTGGCTGAATGCCGCCTTTGAGTTTGAATGGTGCTCAGGGAACCCTGAAGGAGTCGTCAGCAGCCTGGGGGAGGCCATGTGCCAGCATGGAGGAGATGGCGTTGGAGCAGGGGGCAGAAGGAGGTCCATGAAGAGTGAGGACCATGTATGCACAGGTCGAGGCAGGAGAGGGTCGCGCAGGCTCGGAGGCCAGTGGGGCGTTTGTGTGCCTGCATTGTAAATGCCTCTGGTGGCAAAGAAGGTGGCCCAGGGTAAAGGAGCTTGGCTTTCGTTTATTTGCCAGCAGATTTCTTTCTTTCCTCCCTCCCTGCCCCCCACTTTATTGGGTTGTAATTGACATACAACATTGCATAAGTTGAAGTAAGTTATACAGCGTGATGATCTGATATATTGAAAAATCAAAAGATTTTTAACTTTTAATTATGGAAAATTTAAAAGACAGGTGAATGTCGACAGACTAAGACAGTGAACCCGTGTGCCAACACCTACCAACGCGTGGCCAGTCCTGTCCCCCGTGTGTGCTGACTCTGCCACCACCCCCACCGCCACCTCCCCCTTCCCTACTGCCGATCACTTGGAACAAATCCCAAAGTGACTCGTGCCTTCTGTCAAGCCTAGCCTGTGGCTTGTAATGGATTAATCCAGAATTTTCAGGCCTGGAGTGAGTGGGTGACACTTTTCGATTTCATTTCATTTTCAGAGAAACCACTAAGTTTCCCTTCTTTGTCTTACCTTTCAGTGGGAAGTTGGTGTCTCCAAAGTGGAAGAATTTCAAGGGCCTGAAGCTCCAGTGGAGAGATAAGATCCGGCTCAATAATGCCATCTGGCGGGCGTGGTACATGCAGTGTGAGTGGTACACAGGCATCCGGCAGGAGGGGCCTGCAGGGGCCCCGAGGCCTTGTGGTGGGCAGGACCTCCAGGTTCTAGCACCTGGAGGCCTTCGCACCTTGGGGCCCAGAGCCCACTTTTCAAACATTATGCCTCAAAGGGAAGCCTCTCTTGGGCAGTCTGCAACAATAGGAAAACCAAGCCAAATCCTAATGAACTGGGTACTTCTCAAGTGTCGGGCACAGGGGACCAGTCACATGGTCTGTGTCGTGTAGTTGCCTGTAATCTGCAGGAGACAGATGTGTTCGCCCAGGGTTCATAGCGTAATGTGCTATTAGGTTAGATGCTTGGGCCCAGCGTTGTAAAGGCAGAGGAGGGAGGGCTTAGGAGGGCTTAGTTCTTTCCAGGGGAGTCAAGGAGGCTGTAGCAGAGAGGTGATATTTGAAGAGTCAGGGAACAGTTCCTATTTTCAGCAGGTCAAAGAAGATACAGACGCAGGCCTTGTTCATTCTCTAGCTGGCTTCATGCTGGTAGATCCGGTGACCTTTGCAGGAGATCAGCGTGCTTGGGGCATGCTTGGGTTAGGCTGGCATTTCTTTTGATAAGCCAGACTCCCATTCTTACCCATGAGTTACTGACAGATTCTTTTCCTTTATTCTCTGAAATCTCATTTTCAGGGGAAGGAGAAGAACACTTGGGAGGGTCCCACCCTGAGGGGGATGTGGACAGAGGGGGCAGGGACTCCTTCAGGGGTCTTGGTCATAGTGATGACGTCTCATCCTTTCTCTGCCCAGATTTGGAGAAGCGCAAGAATCCCGTGTGCCACTTTGTCACTCCACTAGATGGCTCTGTTGAAGTAGATGAGCATCGCAGGCCAGAGGTACTTGGCTGGTGACCATCAGTAGCTGGAAAGGATCTGCCCTCATCAGGAGGAAGCGACTCTCCCAGGGCCGGGAGCAGGGGTTGGATTCCGCAGCAGCAGGGGTGGGGTAGGGAGAAGGACCATGTGACCTCTCAAAGATGAAGTTGTGACAGCCCACAGAGGCTCCCCTCTTCTCAGGCTGGGCTGACCCGAGCACTGAGCGGTTCTCCCATTGGGACTTACTTTCCACTTTCCCTTAACATTGGCGTTTTTCTGGAAGTCAGTAGGGAGGGATCTGGGCTCCTTACAAGGCAGATATCTTTAACAGTTAAAGAATGACCTCAAGATCTTTATATGCTGAGATGATAAGATGCTGAAGAAACAGTAAATGGAAAAAAAAAGCAAGTTGTGCAACAGTATTTCAGTAACTTTATGTTAATTTTTTTTAAAGTGTGTATCTGTGTGATTGTGTGTAGGAAAAGTCTAGAAGGATATACAGAAATCCTTTATTGGTGGCTACCTCTGGGGAGGGGGATTAGAGTGAGGTGGATACCCTTATACCCTTTTGCATTGTTTTAATGTTATCCAAGCATGTCTCACTGTTGGGATAAAAGGGGGAACAATTAGAAAGTAACCCAGTGAAAGACCCTTTTGAGTGGTGGGATGTGATCTGGTATTGGACAATATTAAGGAATACCATTTTGTTGGTCTGGTGATAATACTGTATTGTTCACTGTGAAGATTCTTTACTGTCAGATACACAATGAAGTATTTGTAGGTGAAATTATATGGGCCTTATGATATCTGGGACTGGCTTTTATATACTCCAGCCATAAACAAAAAGGAACCTGAAAGTGAGGCAGGCCCTCTGAGGAGGGCGTGACTTCTCCGTCACCAGAGTTCTTCAGGGATATGTGGAAGGGGCTCACCTGCGTGATGGGAAGGTTGAAGCAGCTACTCTTGGAAGTCACTTTCCACCTAAAACTTCTGTGATTGGCCGTTTTCACCCTTTGAAAATGTGGCAGAGTCTCCTGGATAAGGGCATTTAGTGCTACCCCTGGCTCTCTGTAGGGCTTTTTCAGTGCCTGGGTGGAGGGCCCTCTCCCTCTTCCCTGCCCGAGCACTCTCTGACCCGTGTCCAATCCAGACCCTTGGGACTAGTGCCACCAAAGTCGCAACTTGGTTATCTGATGTCACGAAGTAAAAGCCCATCTCTAGGGTGGAGGCTAGTTGTAGCACAGAAGAGGTGGGGCGCACTTTGTGAATGAAGCTGTGTGCATGTGGGAGGGTTCTCTGAGCTGGATTGCCCGAGCTGACTGCCGTTGTCAGACGCATCTTTATTTTCAGGTCGAGTTCTGCCAGTCAAACTAGATTGCCCTCTTTTGATTCTGACCCGCATTCTCTTCACAGGCCATCACCACAGAAGGGAAGTACTGGAAAAGCCGCATTGAGATCGTGATCCGGGAGTATCACAAGTGGAGAACCTACTTCAAGAAAAGGGTATCTGGCTTGGGCTCCAAGAACAGCATGTTCAGGAAGCCCCATAGGGGAGGGAGGATCTAAGTCTATGTTCAGACACTGGCCCCCGAGGCTGTGGGTCCATCGCTGCCCCCGTGGAACCCAGTGTTCCAGCCAAGCCCAGGTGATGGGCCTGCTTTGGCCGTGTTTTTTGTGGTCTCAGTTCCTCCTGCTGCTAGTTATTCTACAAACACTGGTTGAGAATCTCTTCTGTACCCAGCATGGGCCTGGGAATGGCAGAGAGCAGGATCCCTCATGCACCTTCCAGGGAAAAGAGGCCTAGATGCTTCCAGGAGGAGCGTCATGCCCTCCCAGGACCCTGGGTGACCACCGTGTCTCCCCTTTTCTCCACAGCTACAGCAGCACAAGGATGAGGACCTTTCCAGCCTGGCCCAGGTGAGTGAGCTTGGGGGCTGGGAGGACCCTCATGGGAACCCTCCTTTGACAAGAAACAGCAATGACGTGGGTGGCCCGACAGTGAAGCCTGCCGCACCTACCTTCCTGCAGCTCCAGGAGGGGCCACCCCCCTCCTCACACGGAGGACATACAGACTAAGGAAACAGGCCAGTTCTCCCTGCTCCACGCACTCCCCTCATCTTTTACAACAGCCCTTGCAGCTCTATACAGTAGGGTAACATACTCCCCTGGCATGATGTGATTGGGAATTCTGAGTTCACTAGTGCCCCTCTGACTTCTCCTCCTCCCTCTGTTGGCGGTAGGATGATGACATGCTTTATTGGCACAAACGTGGGGATGGATGGAAGACCCCAGTCCCCATGGAGGAGGACCCACTGCTGGACACAGACATGCTCATGTCGGAATTCAGCGACACCCTCTTCTCAACACTTTCCTCACACCAGCCGGTGGCCTGGCCCAACCCCCGGGAAATAGGTAACCCACCTCTAGATCCTTGACTTTGAAAACACAGGTTTCCATCTCTGCCAGTGCCCCCCCCCCCAACCTGACCCCCCCAGGGCAGGATTGGCCAACCTCGCTGGCATCTGAGGGCCACGTGCACTGAGTGGGTGGGGACTGCAAATGGACCTTCCTGGACAGCTGTCAGGGCCATGGTGCCCCTGAGAGAAGACTGGGTATTTGGTCTGAATTAATTTCACATTTCTGATGCTGTCCCCAAGTGATGGGGCCTTTGGGAAGAAAATTAGAAGCATTCCTGGGCATGACCTTTTACCTGGCCGCATTCAGGCATCCAGTTAACACCTCAGGGAAGAGCCCACAGACTAACAGTTAGAACTGGGGATCTCTGCATCCTGGGAGTGTCTGTTTCCTGATACTTCACCTTTCTTATAAAAACTCTCTTTTTTTCCTTTCCTGCCTTCTGAGGGTGGAGAATAGCCACAAACCCACAAGAAGGTAGAAATTCCAGCCAGCCACCTGCACTTCTCCTTGGAAGAATCTAGAATGTGAACAGGGCCAGGAGGATCCATTCTAGGCCTTTTATGTGTTTCTGCAACATTATTTGAGAAGGCAGAATGATTCCTCTGTCTCCTTTCTGATTCTTACAGCACATCTGGGAAATGCAGACATGATCCAGCCGGGGCTGATTCCTCTGCAGCCCAACCTGGACTTCATGGACACTTTCGAACCCTTCCAGGGTGAGGACATGGGGCAGAGAGAGAGCATGGCTGCCTGGATCTATCTCCCTTTGCCCAGGATAAAGCACACTGGTGCTTCCCTTCATTAGAGTTTGCATGGGCAAGGGGGAGGACTTAGAATTTTTCCAGAACTACCTTTTTTTTTTTTTTTTGGTAGTAGCAAGGTTTGGGAAGCTTTTCTGCCACAGGGTTCTCTCACTCCTGCAGTCTCAGATCCTCAAGTTTGCCCAGGACCGTAAGCAGTTCTCCCTGTAGGCAGCAGAGGGCGCTGGCAACACAGCCACCTCCCTGCAGTGTCCTGCAGTTAGAACTGGGCTCATAAGAGCCGCCAAACGCCAGGCCTGGGAGTATTTCAGACCCCACACTAGTTGCCAGCATGAGTGTTTCCAATCAGAGGGCCTCTTTCTGCAGAGTTACTTCAGCGGGGAGCGCCCTCTGTCCATGGCATTCCTCTGGGTAAGATGGGGTTCAGTGCCCGATTTATTTGGATCTTAATTCAAGGATATGATAGGCACACAGAGCTCAGAAGCGCCCGATGTTGTCTTTCAGACCTCTTCTCTTCCAGCCGCTCCATTTTTGGTTCCATGCTGCCTGCTCCTGTCTCAGCACCTGCACCAGATCCCAACAGTCCACCTGCTCAGGTAGAGGGAGCTGGGGAGAGGTGGCCAGGGCTAGGCCAATGAATAGCCGTGCAGTCATAAGCAAAGTGGTAGGGCTTGCTAGATCAAGTGCTGAACACACAAATAATGCATAAAGACGTTATTCTAGCTCTCCTTGAAAGCAGCCAAAGATCTCCCAAGAGGTGGGAGCTCTCGGTAAGCCCGTGCTCCTGCCTGAGGCTCCATGTAACCTGTGTGCGGCAAGCTCTGTTCTAACCAGTTAAGAGAGGATCAGCAAAGGAAAACACGGATCACTAATAAAAAGTTCCATGTATTTCTTTTGCTTTTTATGTAACAGTTAACACAAGTTGGTTATCAGCTGCTGGGGCTGCAGAGCTGAGTGAGGCACGGCTCTTTACCCTTAGGGGCTCTCAGGCTGGTACCCATATCTAGTTAGACACCAGAAACCTGGCCCCATCTTCTTCCATCTGGCTCTGGGAAGAATTTCTTCTATGGAGACTGAGGTCTTGACAATTGATTCCTTAGAGCGTTTCCCTTTTAGGAAGAGGTGACCTCTAGAAGTTGATACATGAAACTGTCCTGAGGGAACCCCTTGAGCAGCTGTGCTCCAGGCTGCCTGTGTTCTGTAACAGAAGATGGCCGGACCTTTGGGGGGACCCCTGCTGGACTCTAGAAACAAGATATTCCCAGGCCTAGAGCCAACTGTGTGCAAACAGTCACTTTGTCTGAGCTCTGTGTTACCATTTAGTCCCTAATGGAAACAAGACACCTGCGGACTCCTGGAGAGACACAGCTCCATTCCCCCCAGATTAGCGGGAATGGGGACAGGAGCCATCGCCTTGTCCCTCTGTCTGAAGGATCTGCTCGGGGGCCCAGCGTACGTTGTTGGACTTTGTGGTGTGTTGTACCAGGAAGTGACAGCAAGTTGTGTGATCCAGCATTTGTCCTTTCTTAGGAGAGCATCCTGTCAACCACCGCTCTCCCCACCGTGAGCCTCCCTGATGGCCTCATAGCACCTCCTGCAGCCACCACCCTGGACCCCACGGATAGGCAGGGCTGTGAACGAGATCCCCGGCCTGGAGACCCCTTTATCCAGCCCACAGACTTTGGTCCTCCTGCACCGTCGCTGAATGTCCCTCAGCCTTTCCTCCCTGTGTTCACCATGCCCTTGCTGTCTCCCAGCCCTGCCCCAGCACCTGCTTCTCCTGCCCTGCCTTTAGCCCCACCACCCCCTGCCCCTGCCTTGAGCCCCTCGGCTCCACCTACCTTCCTACAGCCGAAGTTTGCTGGAGCCAGCAAGTCACCCTCCGTCATCACACACACGGCTTCTGCCACCCTCACCCATGATGCGTCTGCCACCACCTTCAGCCAGAGCCAGGGCCTTGTCATCACAACCCACCATCCCACGCCCTCAGTGTCCCCCTGTGGCCTGGCACTCCCTCCGGTCACCCGGCCGCCAACTGCCGGACCTCCCCAACCCTGTTTAACTTTTGTGCACCCCAAACCTGTCTCTTTGACTGGGGGGAGGCCCAAACAGCCCCCCAAAATAGTGCCTGCTCCCAAACCGGAGTCTGTGTCCGTGGTATTGAAGAATGCTTGCATTGCCCCAGGTGAGTCAGGTGGAGGGAAGCCAGAGTCTAATCTCCCCTTCCTGAGGGATATTTCCCTGTCCTCAAGGCTTGCAAACTTGCGACTCACCCACACTGGTGAAACAAAGGGGTTCCGATCTACCACATGTGTGTGATCTAGTCTGTTGTCTACTCTGTGGTCTTCTTTTCAAATTAGTCTCAACCCAGTTTGAAAAAGCATGGTTCAGGTGATCTCTTTCCTGGGTCTGTAATCTGTCCTCTTCAAGGAGAAGTTGCAAAACAAATGTCAGGTACCCCGGTGGTTTTGTCTCTCCGTGCCCTGCGGTGAGGAAGGCAATGTCTGAGCAGCAGGAGAGGGGTCTGCGCTGCTCCTGGGGAGCCCTACAGTGCCTGGGCTCAGCAACAGTAGTGTCAGAAGCAGGCCCCCATGACTCCGGGCCTCACCCTCACCTTCTTGTTCTGGCAGCTGCCTTTTCAGGACAACCACAAGCAGTGATTATGACATCAGGCCCTCTGAAGAGAGAAGGGATGTTGGCTTCTACCGTGTCGCAGTCCAATGTGGTCCTTACGCCTGCTGCCATTGCCCGGGTGAGGGGGCCCTAGACAGACCCTCCGTGTCCTTATCACCCCAGCATGGCCCTGCTCTTGGGTGGTCCTCACCTGACATGACTATGGTCAGGGGTGATCTCTGTCTCCTGTGTCACCTCAGGCTCCTGGAGTCACGGAGTTCCACAGTGGCATCCTGGTGACAGACCTTGGCCACACCACGAGCAGCCAGCCGGCCCCTGTCCCTCGGCTCTTCTCTCCAAGCGCTATGCAAGACTCCCTGGTGAAGGGCGAGCAGGTCCCTGCCACGGGTTCCAGTGAGTGTGCGCTCCACTCTGAATGGTTGGGACTTCGTGAGTGAAATGAGCATGCCCACACCTGGGTCAGGGAGACTGCCTGTGGGGTTCCCCGGGATTGAGGCTGGACTTACAGGATGTGCAGTGAGGTCTTAGAAGCCTAGTGGCCCATGCTGGGAAGTGCTCAGTGTAGTGCCGGATCATCCACAGTAGCAGGAAAGTGGCAAGCGTGTGCGGGGCAGGCAACTAATGCACTTGGGGAACGCCAGTCTGACCTCCTTCATAAAGGCCTGGCTCTGAGCTACCAGTTCTGATCCAGACAAGGGATTGAGGCTGTCAACTCTTTCCAGAAAATAGAAACCACCCAGGCTTGTCTCCACATCAACGTGGTCATCCCTTAGTTTTCAAGCACCTCACATCATTGAGCCCATTTCCACACCGTGGGCCTTCCATTGGCAGGACTGTCGGGGGAGAACTGATTTTGCCCAGTGAAGAGCCATGAAGCAAGGGATAAAGGATTTGCCCGAGGTTGTGTGTGCCCCTGGCGGTGGGGGTAGAACCAGAACCTAGGCTTCCTCCTTTCAGATGCCCCATCGGGGAGGGAGACCAAAGGTGCCTTGTCTCAAGTAAAACCTGGGCATGGTTGCTCCTGGAGCTCTGTGGTAAACAGTTGTCTTCCCTGAACAGTCAGGAAGACCCGAGGAGGAAAGGTCTCTGCCTACAGAGATCAGACAGTAGAGGGACTTGTCCAAGGAGGCTGGATGAATAAGGGCCTCCAGTCTGGAAAGCTAAAGATGAAGACTAGTTACGAGTCAGTCCCCTACGGTGGTGTAAGTTAGGGCTCAGGTAGCCTAGTGTTACCCTGTCTGCTGAGGCGCAGAACACTGGGTATTGGAGCTGCATGGGGAAACTGAGCAGCAGGGCAGGGAGGTGGGCAGCGCCACAGAAAGGAGTGCACTGAGGTTCTCTAGGCAGGCAGGTGGGGCAGCCCCAGAGGTTCTGGGGGCCTCCTGAGAGATGCCAGTGACCAGGGCATGGCTGGCGTGGAGTGGGCGAGATTGAAAATACAAGAAAATGTATATGTAGAGTTGAAAGAACAAAAATAAACAGACACGTGTACTTGACACACAAGGTAAGAACTAGAGCCTCGCAGAGGCTGCGGAAACCGCAGGTGGCCCCCAGGAGGCTTGTTAGTAAGCTGGGTTAGCAGTTAGGCCTCCTCTCAAAACTCTCTGTGTCCCCAAGACCTGTGGCTGGCCAAGCTCAGGCCGTGTTCCAACCCCACGTCCAGCCAGCCTTCATCAGGCCTTGTCCACACCTAACAGAACCCTCCTTGGGATGTCGGCAAGGATTTCTCCAGTTTTTGCTCTGGGGTCGCTGTGGGAGGTTCCGGATGGGTTTCCAGGGTTTGGGACTTGTGGGGCTTCCCTTACTGGGTGAGCACTGTTTCAGCTGCTGCAGCCAGCCGTGTCCTAAGAGGAATCTCTGTTCTTCTCAGGTCGAGATTGCCCAAACTCAGGGCAGGCCTCTCCATGTGCTTCAGAGCAGAGCCCCAGTCCCCAGTCTCCCCAGAACAACTGCTCAGGGAAATCTGCAGACCCCAAAAATGTGGCTGCTTTAAAGGTATCACAGGTCTCTCTTGGGTCTTGATTTCCTTGGAGGGATGGGGGAGGGCAAGGAGGAGAATATCAAGGGACCATTGGGGCAGCTGCGTCCCTTACTAAGGACACACAGGAAGGGAGCAGCACAGACCCGGCTGGTGTTCCAGCAGGCTAGGGTAGCATCGGGAACCTGGATGTTTGCTACTTAATCTGGAGATAAGGTCGGCTCCTCCCATTCCCCCACCTACTAGCCGGCCCTGAGCCCCGGAACCAGCCCTGAACCCTGTAGCATGCGGGAGGCGGCGGCTGGAAGAACTGGGTCAGCGGAGGAGTGGGCCGAGGGTGGCTGGGAAAGGCTGATCAGCAGTGGTCATGGCCCCTGCCGAGGGCCTCCATTCAGCAGGCAGGGTTTTCTAGCAACCCTGTCCTGCCCCCTCACGGCTCCTGTCACCCCTCCTTCCACTTACTCTCTAGCCCCTGAGCCGCAGGTTGGGAGGGAGGGGCGGTGGCCCTGTGGTGCACCCTGTGTCACAGCGACCACTCGATTCCCCAACAGAACCGGCAGATGAAGCATATTTCAGCTGAGCAGAAAAGGCGCTTCAACATCAAGATGGGCTTTGACACCCTCAACAGTTTGATCTCTAATAATTCCAAGCTGGTGAGTGGTGTCGGGTGGGCGGGGAGCCCCTGTGTTGGCCTCGGCGCCGGCTAGCCAGGCAGGGTCGCCGTGGCTGCCGTGGTTTGACCCTGCTGCCCCTGTCCCAGACCAGCCACGCCATCACACTGCAGAAGACCGTGGAGTACATCACCAAGCTGCAGCAGGAGCGGGGCCAGATGCAGGAGGAAGCCCGGCGGCTGCGGGAGGAGATCGAGGAGCTCAATGCCACCATCATGTGAGGCTGCGGGGGTGGGGCCCGGGGCTGGCACCTCATCCTCCCAAGTGCTTGTCCCAGAGGCAGGAGGGTCCTTTGGGCTTTTGTCATCCTCCTCCTCCTGAGGCCTCCCCTCTTGGGCCCGCAGTGACCAGCGGCAGCTGGCCCTGCCCACTTGGCGCCCCAGGGTCCAGCTTCATCGCCGGCCGCTCTGAGCTTCCTCTGATTCTTCCTGTCATTGCAGCTCCTGCCAGCAACTGCTTCCTGCCACAGGAGTGCCCGTCACCCGGCACCAATTCGATCACATGAGGGACATGTTTGATGAGTATGTGAAGAGCCGGACCCTACAGAATTGGAAGTTCTGGATTGTATCTTTGGGTTTGCTTTGCTTCTCCCGCCCCCCACAAATGGTTGCTGTTGAGTTCATCCAACAGGCAGTGCTGGTTTCTGCCTCGGTCCAGGGGCCTGGCCTGGCCCGTGGTGGGAAGGGGGGCTATTGTTGGTGACCATCCAGGCTCGGGGCTTCCTGGGGAGGCAGAACAGATCAACTTTGCTCTCTCCGTGCTTGGGAAATAAAGATGCTTTATCGCGAGGTGCCAGAGCCACCTGCTGAGGCAATGCTGTAGGAAGGAGGTAGGATCTAATCCGACACATCCTGGCGGCCATGTCCGGGGAGGGGCGGGTACTGCCCTGTGAGATAGATGGGAAACCAGGGCTCATAAATCACTAAGTGGCAGAGTCAGGATTTGAAACCAGCTCCCTGCAGGTTGTTGTCTGCGTTTGGGCCACATGGTCTTCGATGCTGTTATGAGGCACGTACATCTGCGTGCTGGGGTCCGTCTCTGGGGCCAAGGCCCGCCTGCGCTCAGCCTTCCAGATAGCAGGGCCCCTCTGGGGGACAGCCCCTGCCTTGTCAGTCCCCTTTCAGCCACCTCTCTGCCTCAGACAATCTACACACATGGTAGATTGGCCATGTGTCTTCACCTTCTTGCTGACAGACTGAAGAGACAGCCGTTTAGGAGCAGAGGATTTTATCTGTTTGCACTCTACTGGCTGGTTTTGAAGAGAGGGATGACAGACCAGACAGCAGCTCTGTTGCCTCTGCTCTGCCCGGCTTACCCAGCCTGGCTCTGGCCCTTAGCACTGATGGAGGTGGCCCGGCTTACCCAGCCTGGCTCTGGCCCTTAGCACTGATGGAGGTGG